AAATATGTTAAGACAAAAATCGTTGCAAAAGGGTTCAAATTTTAACATTACCTATTCTGCAGTTAACATTCTCTGTTGGGTATTTCCAGATTGACAACATTGACCAGGCTATGCCACCCAGTTGCGTCTCTGTTTCAGCTGGTAGTCATTTGTATCCATATCCAAAAAAAAATCTGCCGTACTGCTTGGGTGATGTATGCTGATTTTTTTTTACACGATAATCCAATGCTCCTCATGTTCTTCAATGAAATTGGCGAGACATTCTATGTGTGATCGATGTTATTGAATATTTCCACATTATAGGATCCCTGCAACTGGTCCGCTGATGACATTGACGGTACTCCTTTAAAGCAAGAGAAGATAAACATAACTTAATAAGTACGTGTAAGGTGTACCAACAATTATCAATAATTAGTCAAGTTGCCATGCTTCCGCGTTAATTTACGTTCAGATGTCACTGCTGTTCTTAATGGCGACATCTATCCGAAATTACGCATACACTTTTTTTTTTGTTGGGGGGAGTTGAACCACTGCGTCCATTATTTGAACTTTTGTGGTACTCCTGTTTACTGTTCGTATCATGCAAGCTGACCACCATTTAATGAGTGGACAGCTAATTGCCTGGACACGTCCTTTCCCAGTCAGGTATGATATGGTTTATGAAACCAACTACCTTTCCAGGATTGGCAGACCAAATTCCACTAGGTTGTAAGATAACACTATGCAGAAATTTAGTTATACGCCTGTGTAATGCACCGCAACTGCAGAGCAGATGTTCCGAGGTTTCACGTTCTATGCTACAGAAACGGCAGATATCGCTCTGAACCCGACCAATGTTCTTCAAATGATATCTACTCGAACAGTGCCCAGTTACTATGCCAGTGTATATACTAAGAGCCCGTTTATTGAGCTCCAAGAGCTTTTTGATATGTGTTACATTTGGAGTTATAAATCTTTTCGACTGATTGCACTTCGTGACGGCCTTAAGATTACCAAGTTCAATCGTATGGTCTTTCGCAAGCGTTTTCTGTAATCTCGCGACTATAGGAGGACTGTTTATATTTTCACACCTTTGAATCCAAGACCGCCTCTTAGATTTTCGTATTTCAATATTATATTCAGATAGGGTTTTCTTATATTGAGCCCAATCAGAAGTGATTTTCGCCTTATTGAACATCTTACGTGAAACTTTCCGAAGGCGTTCCAATTTCAAATTCCACCACGGCACATCTCTGTTAGAAGACGACCGTTTGATAGGACAGCTACTGTTGTAGGAATTTACAATTCTTTTTTTTTTTACCTTTTCAGAAAATGATAGAATCAATCTTTACGTCGTTTGTAAATATATCTGAATCTAAGCACTGTGCATATTGATCCATGTTTGTTTTCCTAGGATCTCTAAATGCAGAAGGTGGTAAATCACCTCCACCCCATTCAAACATAATGTGTTTATGATCAGAAAGTGAGATTTCATCTGACACACGCCAATTTCGAATCTTCTCAGAAATTGCAGTGTTGCAAAACTTCCTGTCTAATGGCATTTGAAAAAGTAGGTTCATTTCCTTTATTGCATATGTCTATATTATAAGATAAGATAAATTCCAAAAGGCACTCACCTCGACTGTTGATGTCCGTACTACCCCACACGGTATGATGCGCATTTGCATCACAGCCAATGATGTATTCTCTGCAATATTGGACTAATAAGGCGATCTCAGCAGGAGGTACCTCAGGAGCATCACCAGGAAAATAAGCCGAAGCAACTACAATCTCGGGTTTTCCCTTGGTGGTTGGTACCTCAACCATGATTGCGAACGATGTCCCGTTTGATGAATTCTGTAATAGGGTAGCATTTCAATGTTTTATTAACCAGAATAACAGTTCTAGGTGAAGTCTGCTTTTCGTCATAGTATAACTTACATGCGTTTATTTCAATTCCTTGTATTTTTTCTCTGTTGGACCATGGCTTTTGAATAAGCGTCATGTCCAGCACCTCCTTTTTGAACCTCCGACTCAATACAGCAAAAGCACCTTTTGCATGGGGGAGGTTCACTTGCAGGAACTTAATGGGTTTCATTTTGTTTCTTAGATCACTCATCTTTGCCTTTGGGGCGAGCGATAGACCCATCGTTTGATACTCGAGTTTTGATTTTCATTAGCTGCGTTTCGCTAAATCGGAAGTTCAGTACGAAGTCATGTTCCGACAGTCTCTTTAGCGAATCTGCATCAACATTTAACGTCCACTCGTCATGTTTGTTTGCGTTGGAGCGATTCAATATTTTCCAGCCATTCGTGCTTAAACCATCATTTTGACTCTCAATGAGTCTCTTAAGCCTCTCATCGCTGAAGTCTGCACTTAGTGGGAAGAATGCGTGGAATATTTTCGGACGAGGGACCTCTTCCTCGTCCAGGGCAATAAGCTCGGCATTTTCCCAAGGGGTGAGTACCTTTGTGACATTTTTTAGCCACGTCGCTGTTGTTTGATCCTTGCAAACCAGGGACAAATAACCTTGCTTGTGGCTGCATTTTGTGTATTTTGGTTTTATATTCTCATGCCTTTGCTCCTCGATTTTCAAGAGCAGAGCATCCTGTACAGCATCGTGTTGTGCTGTGTTCCATTTGTTGTTCCGGGTATCCTTTTACGATCATTCCAATCTTAACTAGACTTGCAACATCTTTGAAGGAGCGACCACCTGAGTTAGAATCAGCTGATGAACTTTTGGGATATCCTGAAGTTCCTCCATTTCCATCAGCTTTTCCTTCACTCTGGTCAGTCTCCTTCATTGATTTTGCCTGATTGCCAGTATTGGATAATCCAGCGCGCACTTTTGGACAAAGATTCGACGTTGTCCTCTTAACGTCCGGCTTTTCTCCACTGCTACCTTGCTCGCCATCTCTCGATCGCTTGGCAGTGTTTGGAGTCCCAGAAACAGCGTTAACAAAAACTTTTTTCCGAGCTTCCTCCATCCCTGATTCAATGCATTTCTTAATTTTGTTTCTTTTTGTTTTCGAAAGATTTTTGCGCCACTTGATTTTCGACGCACTTTCAGTGGAAAGGTTACTTACGGCTAAGGCTAAAGGCTACTTACTTACTTCTGTAGTGGGAGTGACTAACGATAACCGATGTTTATTCCATCATCATCTTCGTCACTCGCGCTTAACATGCAAATCCAAAATAAATTAAAAAAAAACCCCTGTTTTCATTTATTTATTTATTACTATTATTCCGCTTAGCACTTAACAGTAAAACTCGCAGCACTGATTCGATGCAAGCTCCAACTGGAATACCATCTTTGCAAGTTTGCATGCAATATTCCATATAAGCATTTGACAGTTTTGCACTACAAAATAATATTCTTGCAGTTACACCATAGAGGTAACTCTAAGACCACTGGGTCCCGAAGAAAATCATTATTATTTTTGGTTCACTCAGTACCAGAACAACGGTCCCAAGCAGTCCCAAGCTATTTCACTCACCCCTGCATGTTCTGCATGAATCCACACATCCCTGATGTTATCTGTCAAACTTTCATAGCGAATCAAAACAAACATAGTGTAGTAATAGAATTTCAACTAGAATAGGGTACGTTAATCGTTTGCTTGGGACCAATAGGCTACTAAAGTGGTGAACCAATTTAAAATCGTTAGTTTCGTATTGATTGTTGATTATACTTTTCGCAATTCACCGTGAAAAAACGATTTATAAAGCGAGCCAAGGAAGACACTTGCGTAATTTGGGAACAGTGTTGCTAGACGATGACGCATACACTTATTTCCGTTAATTGTTAACAGAGGGCAGTGCGGTCGAAATATGTATGATACCTCTATATATGCAGTTAGATTAATATCCGATTTCCCCCCTATTTTATATATTCTGCTCAAGTATTGTTGCCCCAACCCCCCTGTTTTGCAGTGCCAGGTACTCTATTTTGTAATCTGTGAGAGGGAAATCACAACTAGAGTGTCATCAAAATACATGACATGTTGAGAGATTGAGCTCGTGAGAGCGAATTTTCTCTCTCAAATCTGATTTTTTTTTCTATGGGAACTGGAAGTAGTGTGGGTGAAACCACAGAGGTAACTCTAAGACCAGAAGGTCCCGAAGAAACGTGCTCAACTTTTTGGCTCAGCTCTAGTACTCTCTTCGGACCCAAGCTAATCGAAGCATACCTCGAAACATAGGAAAATCCGAGGAGGGCGACTCTATCTACGATGCAGAAAAGATTGTGTTTTGCTGTGGCTAGCTACACGCACGCTGAGTTGATAGAAGGAAGATGTATGTCGATTTTGAAGATTTCCTGCAAAAAGATGAAGCACGATGCAAGTAGATGCGGAAATGAAAGATGATTTTTCGAAGATTGATTCGCTAGTGTGAGATTTTTTGAGCATCTAGAATTGAGATTTAGATGTGTCGCCCCCCTCGGGAAAATCTACGAACCCCTCATTTTATCTGTCAAACTTTCATAGTGAATCAAAACAAACATAGTGTAGTACTAGAATTTAGACTCGAATAGGGTACGTTCATCGATTCGCTTGGGACCAGTAGGCCAGTCAAGTAGTGAGCCAATTTAAAATCGTTAGTTTCCACCGGTTGATAAAACTGTATGGGGAAAAACAATTTTTATTTAATTGTAGACTGTTTAACAATAATTTCCGGGAAATAAGTGAACGACAAAATCCATGAATGGTTTTTTTTTAGGCTGTCGTCCTCTTTCTTGACATGAACATGCATCGAAAGCGAATTATTCCCACTTCTCTCAATTCCTATGTGGAGATTTTTATCACTTCCTACCAACTTTCAAAGGAGTTTGAAGATCTTCTAAGGTAATAGCAAAAAATGTTCCTGAAAAATCTTTAAAAAATCATCAAATCAGTTCTCTAGGTAACTCTTATGGTGTTGAGTCCTAGGTTAAGTCTTTGAAATAATATTCGATTAGATATCCATTTTTAAGAAACCAAAACCTTTTAGTACCATTCCTTAACCTCAACCCAAAACACAGACATGGAATTCCTGGAGGTCCTTACCGAGGGTCTGGAACGAGTGCTGATGGTGCGAGGAGGCGGCCGGGAAGTCATCACCATCTACTCATAAGAAGAACGCTGCAACGTACCGCCATCCCTCCTTTCTCCTCTCGCTGCTGCCGGGACCCGGCCGGTGGAGGATAAAAATTCACCCGTGGCCCCTAGGTCCACGGGCCTTAAATACGCTTCAAACATCGTCGCCGCCGTCGTCGTCGTCGTCGTCGTCATACACATACACCTACACGTTTACACTTGCATACAATACACACAATGCGAATACACGAACAAAAACATACAGTCACTTAAACTCTTGAACACTCTCACTCACACGAGAACGCGTAGCTACACATACAATAACATTTTTTCTATACACACGAAAACAAACCAAGAACAAAAAAGCAAAAGTTAAGAAACCAAAAGAAAAACCAAAACAGTTAGAAATTATAGTCAAACTGTGAATTCTATTAGTTTAAGGGTATATTGTCGGAAAAAAGAAGAAACAAAGGTAAACATTAAAAATGAAAGTGGTAAAAGAAACTTTCACAGATGTACGTACGTATCGCGATAGAATGTAGAAAAATCAAATCCATAGGATACAGATTGAACCAGAAGAAAGCAGTTAGAAAGTGACAACCTTCATTCAGAACGTTAGTGCGAATCAAATTGCCCTGCAAATCTAATTGTATGGGGGGAGGAAAATGTAAAAAACTTTATTCTTACAAAGCGAATGAGTATAGTGAGCGAGAGGAAAAGAAGACATAATGTGTTCTGCTTTTTTATTTAACTAATTTAGTCCAATTGTGAGAAGAAAGAGTAGTACCTTTTTAAATGTGCAACATCTCCCCCACGATCACACACACACACACACAAACCAAAACTCTGAAAGAGTTGCTTTTTTATATTGACAAACATAATTAGACTCCGTGCAACAAATCTAAATTCTTACGGAAAGAAAAGTTGACTCAACAAGAGCAGAATATCAACAACAACAACAACAACAACAGCTTCAACTACTACAAAAACATACCATCACAAAAAAAAATAATAGAAGAAGAAACCGAAACAGCTAAAGGCAGTAACACGGCGCAATGATAAAATAGAAAATCGACAAACGAATCGACATTTTCATAATTTTAACTTTTGCCCACCTCGTATCAACAACAGCCTACCACCAGAATACGATTTCCTATTTAAAATACAAGGACATTAAAAAAAAAGTCGGTAGGCAAGAGCCTAAAACGACGCAAAACGCGATGATAAGTATTAATTTACACAAACCCATTTGTTAAGAACAAGTATAGTCGATGTTTGTGAATGTAAATTCATGTGTATGATCATTTGTTTTCACAACGCGCGTCGGACAACAGAACACACGCGGAGATCGGTAAAACCGTAAAGATTTCCGGAGTAGTTTTAGACGTGCGTTTTTTTTTTGTTTATCATTGTCGTGTGATTATTATTATATTTTTGTTATAGTTTTCAAATCGTTTCGTTTTTTTTTATTGCATGTGGATTAACTCAAAAGGCGAACAGTGTAAAAGATGAACAAATTCGATTGTGTAGAATCAAGTGTAGTTATGTTTTACGTTACAATTTGTTGTTTTCGTTTTTATTTGTTTAGAGTTTCAAAGAACATCCTTATTTATTTTCGGTTGCATTCTGTTTTGAGATTATGGGTTAATTTGTAGCTGCTTCCCCTACCACTGCGAATTAACGCGAATACTAAAACGGATGAAATGTTTACACAGTTTTTTATTAATTTTAGTTGGCCAGTGGCTTCCTAGAAGTGGATTGGAATTAAGAGGGTCTTTTTGGCTGCGAACGTTGATTAGGGAGGTTCCTGTTTGAACTTCAATCCAAAATCTGACTTTTGAATTTGAGGTTAAATATGGTTGCATACTTCGGAAAAGTTGAAGAAAATAAGATTTCAAGCAACTTTTCTGAAGTCATGTTTTGCTTAGTTCTTGATAGAGCAATGCTTCATTTCTCAATTAGGGTGTTCCTCAAATAATCAGTTTCTCATTCAATCATATTTATATCAATTTTTTTTTGAAAAAGTAATGTACGATAGACTTGTAGCACTAGTTTCATATTTTCTACAACTTTCCGAAGAATGTAATCAACCTGAAAAAAAAAAACAAAAAGTTAGATTCCAGATTCAAGTTTAAATGGCGACCACTTGTGCAACAAAAAAATATCATTTAGTTTCAAACGCTAGGAAGACACTCACCACCAAAAATTAATAAATAACTGTGTAAATGTTTTTTCCTCGTAAATCTCGACGAACATGTTGGAAGAACCAGTGTGTCAAATGCAAACAAACAACTCTATCTGATATTGTCAACTTGCTCTTCCAGACGATACTGTTGATCTACCTGGTCGAGTCTTAGCCCGTGAGAAATTGAGGCATAAAGTCATTGTTTATATTTAGTACATTGGCTCTTTTCAAATGTTCGACTACAAATTATCTTTGGGTTAATTTGCAGTTAAAGGGGAGGTAAATTATCTTAACTGTAATGGGTACCATGCGTCCCCACCATCAAGTACGAAAATGGTGAAGGTGCATGGCAAGTACTACTAATATCGCGTAGCTTTTCAAAAGGACCAATTTAACATATCGACCATTTCGAGAATATCGAAGCTGAAGTTCGACAGATTAGTATTGTAACTTATAGGCAATACATTTTTCAATACAATTTTTACCGTTATCAGTGAATAATAATGTTGAAAATTCAGTGCAAACGGGTAAAATCACAATTTTACTTTAAATTTCATGTTACAATATAGGGAAAAAAACAACATATGACGTTTTGACTAGTCAAGATGTACTTCGAACATGTAATATACGTCGATTTTTCTCGAGACAGACTCAATGAGTCTTATATTGGACATTTTGTTCTACATGACACTGATCCCTAGCACAGATTTCAGAATAGAGTACCTAACATTGGACAAATGACTGGTTCCCTTAGTTATAACCTTAGATTGGTTTTCCATGCCCCGCCTTTAGAAAATGAACACCAATCATGTTAGGTGGACCAAATGTCCGAAGTAACAATCGAATACCCATCATTCCAAACTGTACACTGAATAATTTTTGACCTATGATTATCTTAACTAAATGAATGTAAATGTAGATGGGTGTTTTTGTATCACATACAATGAATAGTTTCAATCGATTAACTCGATTTGTTTACATTTGTTACTTAGGACCTTTTGAAAAGCTACGCGAGCAATGGGAAACCATATGACAGAAACTACCCTTCGCAATCGAATTTGACAAATCATATTTCAAAAATGATAGTGTCAAAATCCTCGCAGATCAAGAAAAATAAAAACAAACACGGAATACTGAAATAAAATATTTCACCACCTGTAAATTTCGCCTCTCTCAAAATCAACACTTTTCACCCTACGGTCTACCAATGACGTTTATGCGAGGTCCGGGCCAACAGGCAGCTTGCTGGTGTTAGAAGCAAAAATATTGTGAACATTGCTGAGCACACGACGTCACTCTGCCATAATATTCCATACTGCGAACAGTGAGATTTACATCACTGCCAACAGCTGTTTCGTGTAAAAAGATAAACATTGCAATGAAATACGAACACCACTAAACATTTGCACATTTCACTAACACCAATGAGCCTGTTATAAAGGCATACCACATTGTAGCACGGAAAATAGCCCGATAGCTGTGGGTTCTCCTCACTGTTGAACTTGATCAAGCTTAATAACCTCTGATTGTCATTCAGCAAATCGCTGTATGAAGGGCCAAAAACGAATGGATGGATTGATAGGCAATTTACCTATTCATTTCTTGGGACAGTTAAGAATCTCCTTCCAACAACTTGATCAACCTGTTGGTCGGAAAACGAGCCATCCAACAGGAAGATGTTCCAATGAATGGGGAGAAGAGCCCACCCTTTATCCACGAAATGTTAGCAAGTTAGTTGACATCTTCACTTTCCCCGTTCAAATCGCTTCAATTCGGTGCCCTGATGGTTCCTCCTCATCCCGAATTTTTAATATATAGCAATATGTAATATAATAATCAGATAATCAGAAGCATAGCTTCTACAAAAATATGCGAGTTCACCCTACGGTCTTAAAATGAAACCAAAATTTGATCCAACTGGTTTCAAAACATCAAACCTTCAAAAAAACTCTTAATTCACTAGACGAGTTTTCCCGAATTCCACTTCCACGTTATGAATGCTGCTTTTTGAACCCAAAGATTACCTTTACTCAACTTAAAAAGAGTATTTGGATGTAATCTATGTCTAACAGAATGACAGAATATATATCAAACAAAGCTTCAAGAAGAGATTTAACAAAAACTCCCTGGAAGAAGATCCCGACAATTTCAGATCGGTCCAGCTTGAGGTTACTCACAAGGCACAATTCAGCCAAGCGGTCATTTTGAAAGTTGAGCCACGCCAAATGACGAATCCGAAAAGCTAGACCTGCTGCGATTTGCATGAAACTTTGCATAACTGTTTGCTATGGGCAATGATTCACATTTTTGATAAAATTCGGTCATTTTGAATCCTGCAAAATTTTCAAAATGGCATTTTTTTAAATTGCTCCAAAAATTATAGCACGGAAATGACACTTCTGATAGAAATGACGCATGAGACTAAGTTGTAAAGAAAAATAATGTTTTCCTGGGAAAAATATACAAAGAAATGTTTTTTAAGTAATTTCAAGTAAAATTCAAAAAAATGTTATAAACCTAAATATTTCAAAATGCCTTCGTCCGATTTTTTATTCTTTTTTAAACAGCGTTTGAAAAATTTTTTTTTTTTTTTAGGAATTTTTAAAATTATGGTCGCTTAAAAATTGACAAAAATCGTAGAACAAGAACTTTTGGTCAAATTTTTAGATTTTTTGTTAAAAACAACAGTAAGCTAAAAGCTCAAAAATGTGACCAAAAGCTAATGATTTTCGTTAGTTTTCAAGTCTTCGTGGTTTTAAATATTTCAAAAGTTTGCATTTTTAACAAGCTTTTTTTTTAATTAAAAAATCACATTTGGGTTTTAAACATATTTTTCTAAATTTTGCTTAAAATGTATAAACAAAGACAATATTTTTCTCTACAACTTTGTCTCTGACGTCATTTCAATCAGAAATTTCTTTTCCAAGGTACAATTTTTTGAAAAATTTCAAGGACGTCATTTTGAAAATTTTCAATGATCCAAAATGGCCGAACTTTAGCAAAACTGTGAATCATAGTATATTATGGCAATTACGCAAAATTTCATACAAATCGGAGTTGTGATTTGTTCCTTTAGTATTCTAATGTAACACCAAAGCGCTAGTCGAGTTTTGTCCCTTCTTTGGCTTCCACGAGTTTCTCTGACTTCTTCCTTCCCGGGCTGCTGTTGTCCACAAACTGTGCAATACGAACATCCTTAAGCTGGACGAATGTTGTGTTATACACCAAAGAACCGAAAAAGAGCATTTTGCTTAAAATCTTTGGAGATTCCTGAAGGATGTACCAAACGCTAGTTCCAAAAGAAGTCCCAAAGGGGAATTCCGAAAATTTCCATGGTGAATACCGAAGGAAGATCCAAGGTATAATTTCCAAGTAAGTCCAAAATGAGGATTTCGAAGGCAGTCCCCACGAAGAAATCCGAAGAAGAATTCCTAAGGGAAAATCCGAAGTAGAAATGCTGGAGGAAGATACAAAGGAAATTTCGAAAGCAGTTCCAAATGGCAGTGCCGACAAAAGTTCCATTAGAGAATTTTGAAGGAATTCCAAAAGAGAAATTCCGAAGGAAGCATCAAAGTTTAGGAGGAACCCTTCAAAAGGAATTCTGAAGGCAAGCTTTGAGCGGAGTCCCAAAGGTAAATTAAAAAGAAAAACTCAATGGGGAAATCTAAGAAAGTGTAACAGAGGATACCGTAAGGAAATTCCAAAGGAATGTCCCAAATGGGAATTTCCAAAGGAGTGTCCCACATGGGAATTTCAAAAGAATGTCCCAAATGAGAATTTCAAAGGAATTTCCCAAATGGGAATTCCAAAGGAATGTCCCAAATGGGAATTCCAACGCAATGTCCCAAATGGGAATTTCAAAAGAATGCCTCAAATGGGAATTCCAAAGCAATGTCCCAAATGGAAATTCCAAAGGAATGTCCCAAATAGGAATTCCAAAAATGTCCCATTTGGGAATTCTAAAGGAATGCCCCAAATGGGAATTCCAAATGAATGTCCCAAATGGGTATTCCAAATGAATGTCCCAAAAAGGGAATTCCAAAGGAGTGTCCCAAGTGGGAATTCTAAAGGATTGTCCCAAATGGGAATTCCAAAGGAATGTCCGAACTGGGAATTCCAAAGTAATGTCCCAAATGGGAATTCCAAAGGAATGTTCCAAATGGGAATTCCAAAGGAATTTCCCAAATGGGAATTCCAAAGGAATGTCCCAAATGGGAATTCCAAAGGAATGTCCCAAATGGGAATTCCAAAGGACTGTCTCAAATGGGCATTCCAAAGGAGTGTCCCAAGTGGGAATTCTAAAGGAGTGTCCCAAATGGGAATTCCAAAGGAATGTCCCAAATTGGAATTCCAAAGGAATATCCCAAATGGGAATTC